AAGGACATTTTAGATATATAGAACTTAATGCAAATGGAGAAAAACTATAACATCGCAGCAGTGTTTCTGCTAAAGCTACTTTCACAATGTTATGGAAAAGCCACATTTATGACGTCCCTCCCTGTAAGCAGAAATCAGAGTGTGGCAGATGTTTTACCCTGAGGCCAGATTCTAATGCCACTGACAGCAACTGGTAGGGGTCCAATACATAAAATCAATAGAAAAATGGTAAGGGGTGTTTATCTATATTTCTTTTGCAGATGAACCTGAGATTTGAAGAGTCTGCTTCCCAGGTGTGCATTTGCTAGGGCTAAGGTTGGCCCTCAGTGGAGAGCTCCCTAAATAGAAGAGGAAACCAAATCCAATAGCTGGTGTTTCCCAAAGCATGGAGTAGCTATCACTCCCCAATTTTAATAACATTAAATTGCAAGCAAAAAATTACTCCCTTTCTAAATTTCTTTCAATTCTTTTGATAACATCACACCAGCACATGGATTTCAACAAAAAACAGGCCTAGGGCTCCGAGCTGGCACTAGCAAGAGCATCAAAGAATTTAATCATCTTTTCACTGAGTTTAGTTTCCAACTACCATCTATCTAGGACAAGCAATATTAATTTTCTGGTTGATTGTAATAAGGTTTTCTTCATAAAAAATTTTATTTAAATAGAACTGATTTGATTTAAAGAAAACTATTAAGTGGAATTAAGTAGGCAAATCATAAAGATGGAACCCAATGGATTAAAATTGAGAAAAGGTGGCAGAGGCACCTGTGACTTTGAAAGTCTTGGTTTGGGACTCAGGGCTAAGTCAAAAGGTGAGTCAGTGGGTCAGCCTGACTAATATGAGACAAAACACTTCAATGGCTGACATTTGAGCTGGGTTTCAATTAATTACAGAGATTCTAATTTTGGCACCTGTCCGAGCTGAATTAACACTACTCACTTATTTCACCCAGATAAACATCACCCCATGTCTGTATAAGACAGGTTGAGAAAGATGGTGGTGTTCTTCAAAAGCAAACTCAAAGAGAAGCAGCGGTTGGAGCTTATCAGAATCACCTGGGAAACACTTTCACCCCCAGAGGAGCCCACAGTTGGTCCTACCTCTTCAGATCCACAGTAAATGTACGTAAATAGGACTACACATTTTGTGCTATTCATAGCCAATTTAGGCCCAACACACTGATCACTAACTGATTAGCTGAGATTCCCAATTTAGGTGTTTCCGGCCTTAGGAATTTCACCATCTCAGTCCTTCTCCATACTAAAAGTTTTAGAGACAACGTGCCATTTCCAGCATATAATGCAAACAGTTAAAAATCAGTTTAAGAAAACAGGGCCTCCTGTCATGCCATCCTTGCTAGACTCAACAAATCTCTGAGTGTGGACCAAAAAGGCAGCTTAGATATAGCAAAAGGCATGTGACCTCTTACTCCTCTGGATGACAAGCTACTCGCCAGTCCAGAGCATCACCACCAACATCAGTGGGCTCACAAGTCTCGCTGAATGGCAGCTTTCTTCCCTGCGCCGCAGCAGCGGCTTTAAAGTTACTGCCTGTTGGATTTTGAAGCAGCTGCTTCATTTGTTCATAAAAGTCACAGGTAAGTATCACAGAAGACTGCCCACACATTTTCATCAGAAGATAAGAAAGCAGAATCCCTCCCTTAGCAGGTATGGGTTTTCCTAATACGTAAAAATGGACTGCCGTGGCCACTGGAAAAGATTCTGAATTTGAAAACTTTTATTAATTTTGGGAAGCAAACGAGTAAGGATGAAGTTACAACAAAAAAAGAATGGGTTTCCAAATTACGTTTTTCTGCTACAACCCCTGTCCCCCAAGACAAAGGGCCACTGGCAGCCTTGGAAATAGTTCCTGGTTTGGGGAGTTTGGGGAGGAGGTGTCACTCCCAAGCCACTCCAGAGGCACCACATGGTGCCTCCCTCCACTCCTGCAGTTGTCCCCAAACCCTCACACCTATCCATCTACAAACCTGCTTATTCCATCAGCCTTTTCCTTGGCTGCTGTCTCAAATATGGAATTCCTTCCACATAGTATCTTGCTGCCAAGGATTCTTCTCTCTTCTACAATTTTAATATTTTCCTTGCCACTAGAGAAACCAAAGTGCCCTACCCATGGCTTTATCAATCACATCTCCTGAGTAGCCACAGAAGGCATTTGAGTGTGTGAATCTCGAATTCACACCTGCTCATTTACACATTTCCAGTTAACACCATTCCTTTGTCATTCAAAGGTATCTTATTAGAAGACACTGTGTGTACTAGGTACAGTTAGAGAAAAAGAATAGAAATATGACTTTAAGACCCTTCCTATTCCTGTCACATTGATGTTCTAAGAGAGACAGAGGGAAATAAAGAAAATCACCTCCATAAAATGTGCTGTAACAACTGTGTGAAGAGTTTCTGGAAGATGGGACCAAAACGTTCCCTTTCTGCCTAAGGGAAACTTCTGGAAGAGGCTACATACACCTTTAAGTGGGCCTTGATCTAAACTGCAGTTTTCACACTCCCCTCTTTCCCTCCTCAGTCCCAATCCACTCTGCCCCTTCATCCCGGAGGACCAGTAAACTGTATCACCGGCGCTAAAAAACCCGGAACAAGTCTCCCCTAGCACATCAAGGCCAGAGATGTCTGATGGGCACTGAGACTGTCCTTGCCTTTGCACAGAGATCTTGCACATATGGGTACATCAGCTCTAGCCAAAGGCCAACCAGGGGCCACCAAATATGGCTGTTCAGTACACAAACCATGCAGCTCTAAGTGGCAAGTCTATCTATACCCATCATGATACTTCCCATTTTAGGGGATTATAGGTGATTTTTAAAAAGTACTTTCTACATTTTCCACAATGGACAGGTATTATATGTTTAAAAATTGAGGGGGAGCCAGGACCGGTTTGGCTCAATGGATAGAGCGTCGGCTTGGGGACTGAAGGGTCCCAGGTTCGATTCCGGTCAAGGGCATGTACCTTGGTTGCGGGCGTATCCCCACTGGGGAGTGTCGAGGAGGCAGCTGATCGATGATTCTCTCTCATTGATGTTTCTAACTCTCTATCTCTCTCCCTTCCTCTCTGTATAAAATCAATAAAATATATTTTAAAAAAATTGAGGGGGAAATTGCACGTGGGAAAAAGAATCCACTCTACTCTTCAGAATAGCCTACTGTAAGGCTCTTTTCTCTAAGAAGCCTTCTGTGAGTTACTCAACAAGAAGCAATCTGTGCTCTTCCTGTTCTTAACACCATGGACAATTTTATGACTTCAGACACACGCCTTCCTGTATCCACATACAGTTGTACCTTTCTTTTTGACCTGTTATGTATCAGGCATTGTATAAGGAGTTTTACACATGTTGTTTCATTTAATCCTCACAGGGAACCTATGAGGTTGCTATTACCATTCCCACATTATAACAAAGGAAGCCAAGGTTGGAAGACTTGTTCAAAGCAAAGAACTAGCCTATGGTTCTTCTAAGTTTAAAAGCAGTCTACTGGATTTTAATTTAAATCCAGGCTTCAAAATCCTAACTCCAAAATACTTGCCAACTGACTAATTGCTTCTCCAATACTAGCCTCTGAGATCCTTAAGCAGGAAGACAACATCTTATTCATCTTTGTACTCACTCTCTGTGCCCACCCCAGGGCCTCATCCAGAAGCAGAAACTCAAAGAACCTTCTTACGATTACATAAAATATTTATTCCTTGGGGGGAAAAAGGCGGGGATGTTGATTATGACGGTATGACTCTTAAATAACTACTGTCCTGACAGCAAGCTCTGAGGTTCTAGCATTAAAATGTATCTCAAAGCTCTGCTGTCTCCCCAGCTCTACTGCCCACCTGAGCCTTAGACTATTACCATCTCCTGCTTCCGCTCTTCTTCCACACAAACCACCCAGCATCCCACAAGCTGCTCCTTATCTGGCATAGAAGCTGTGCACGATCAGGGTCCCTGCTTGTAAGGCCAGACTTCTCTAGGCTCTACTTCCTTCCACTAACCACCTTGCCGCCACATTGGCCTTCTTCAGGTTGTGCACTGGCTCTTCTCTCCGTATTGAATGCTCTTTTTCCAGCGGTCACAGGGTGGCTCCCTCATCACTTAGGGCTCAGGTCACCAGGAGCCACCTCCTCAGAGGCTTTGCTTAAACACTATCAAAGGAGGACTCCATCTGTGGTGGTCTCAGTCTGGAGCTTGCATTTGTGGGAGTGAGGAAAATGAGGAAAAACCTGCAGTTATTTTTAAATGTTTCTCGTTAGTTTTGCCTATCTCTCCAGCAAGAGTTTAAACTCTACAGAGGCAGGAATCATACTACAAGGTGGGTATTCAAATACTTCTGAGTTTTTAGTGAAACTGAGCTTTATGATCAGAATTTTATTTTAAACATGTTAGGTGGCATTCTGGCAATGCAAAAGAACCTTATTTGGATCCTTTCATGACTAAACACCCAGATAACAGGCTTGGAGATTGAAGCCCAGGGATGGCGCAGGCGGTGCATGAAACCTCATGTGACAATGCATCCTTCTAAGTATGTATTCAATTTTGAAAGGGAAGATGTCATAGTTTCAACTCATTCACAGATTAGAACATAATAGTAAGTTAAACTTAGAACTACTGAACTTGGAAGTTTCAAATTTACATTTCCTTAAAAAAAACAACCAAAAAACCATGTCTCCATAATGGGAGTAAATTTTAATTTTACCAACCACTAAATTCCCAACTTCAGGATCTAGAAGGAAACAAACTTTTCACTATACTGATGCAATATTTCAAAAGAGATTTTATAAAATACATTTTCTTATATAATTTCAATAAAATTCAGAAAATACTCAACATCTGACAGGCATTAACCCATTCAATGAATTAAAAAGCCTACCTCCTGACAGGGGGAGGGATTATATTGCACCTGGGCTATGGCTGGCCTTCAGTTTTTAATCCTGCTTTACCTTTTACCCTCTAATAATGATTTTTAAATGATTAAGCACTTACCATAATGTGATTGAAATGCCTGCGGTTTGACAACCTGATTGCAGTCGTTACACACCACCAAGTAGAAATCATCGTGGGCTGGACAGAGACCAAATATTGGCATGTCTGCAACAAAGACAGAGAGCATCACTCCTCTGACCAATATGAAATTATTAGGGGTGGCAATACTTTCTCAAGGAGCTGCCTTAAGATAAAGTGCACCAGGACAAATGTTACTCCAGTTTAAAAGTAACTGATGTGACACACCAGGATTATTAAGAAAGAAATCAAATCAGGCTTACAGAAACACTATTACAAAGCGTTAAAATAAAATGCACTCTCAAACATCAGTATCTGGTAAAAGGGACATATCTATTGAATTGCAAATAATAAATACATTTGTACAATAAAGAACTTTAGATGAACTCTACTCAGGGTTATTGGAAAGAATTTGCAATCATATAAAATGCTTAACTATTCACAAAGCTGAACCACCTAGTGGTTTTATTTAACTCTGCCTTCTATTCTAGCCACTGGTCTCTGAGTTCTATGAATAGTTAAGAAAGGAAGCAGAGGTTTCACTGAAGAGCAAAACTGCTGGTTTCATCAGTATGCAATACCAAAGTAAAATCTGTATATACTTTTCTCGAGTCACAACAACCGCTAGTCCTTTTGCTTACATACTGATGCCATTAGACAAACAGAACTTCAGTTCAAACACAGCATTTCATACAATAACCTCAGTTCAGTTACTAGAACAAAATAAGAAACCAGTTGGACTTTTTACCGTAAGAAGTTTAAACTTAAGACAAATGTAAAATTCAATTATCTACCTATACATGAACTGAAAATAACTTACAATACTGATAATATACAGGGGTTGGCAAAAGTAGGTTTGCAATTGTTTATATTAATAATACAATTAACTAAAAGTAATAGAATAAACTATTTCACTTCTCACAACTGTAAACCTACTTTTGCAGCCCCTGTATGGTTAACTGACCATGAACAATTAACAGCAATCTAGGGAACAGGGCTATCAATTCAGATCCAGAATCTAAATCTTTTAAATATTTTAAAATTGATGATTTTAGACAAGTATTTTACACTCTATGTACTATTTATAATATCTGCAATGAGTGGATAATCATTACATTTCAATTAGACCAAGTTTAAAGAGGGTAATAGATCTAAAAAGCTGATCAGCATCTGCTTTCTTTCTCATAAGATTTAATTTAACACTTTCTCTAGCTTGGGTGATCTTGGTGGTGTTAAAGGAGTAAATGTCCTGAAGAGATGTAAAGTGATGATAATCTCTAACATAAAATTACTAATCTAATATCAGCACATGTGAAATTTTCTTACACACCTTCTATCAACCTCAACTGCAGAGATTGCTGGCTCTGAATCTGAAAAATACCAGGAACCACTATGATCTGTGATGCAGCAGCAGCACCAGCAGCTTCTATGTGCTGCCATCTCATCCTGTGCTCACAGCTGCATACGTAGACACCACTGTAAACCCACTCTGAAGAGGAGGAACCTGGTTCACAGAGAGGTGCAGTACTCTGTTAAGTCCAGAGCTGGGATTCGATTCTGACACTGCAATGGCTTGGTTTTGGTCCCTTGAAGAGCAGTGGAATATGGTTTCTAGAAATTCCTTCCAGATTCCAACTCCAATAGTTTGAAATGTCAGGGCTGAACACCTTGATGTATGAACTGATTAGATAACATAAATCTAATAGACTGCTGACTTCTTTGACTAAGCTTAATAATTTAGTGAAAAATAAGAGCCAAACAATGTGCTATTTTCCATGAAAGCATGCTCACATTGAATCAAAACTAGAACATGTAGGTGAAGAGGAAAGATTATATCCATGCAATGATCAACATGTAATAAGTCATTTTCCATAGCTATAGTTTCTTGACATGACATTTCATTTAAAAAAATAAAAATTCAAAGTGATTTAGCTTAAGTTCTATATACCCCTGTAACTAAATGCTCCGATATAGGATAAATAAAAAGAAAAATATAAATTACAGAAATGGTACTACATTCATAATTTATAGCTAAAAAATATGAAATGTCTATAAATATCAAATCACCAATTTCATTAGATATTAACTCAATTAGTTTTATCAAATAGTAGTTAAAACAGCATTAAATTATTCGATCTCAGTTTAGATTTAGGCCTCTGTGATGTGCTAGTTTTCGTGGCTCCCCACAACACTCAATGTCAAACAATGCTGATTAAAATATATCTCTTTGCCAAATACCAGATACTTCTGGGGGGCAGGCCCCCCCCCTTGAAAAATAAGGAAATTTAAAAAAAAATGGGTACCAATCCTTTCCAATCATAGAAATTCAATTGGCCACAATGATGACTCTGTAGGAAATTATTCATTTTTGCTTTGACTTCATTGATACTTTTGTTAGACTCAGAAACACTAATAAAATGAAAAGGGTGGGGGTTATTCCGTAAGGGACCAGGAATCTATACTTCTGTAAAAAAATTCAATTTCTTCAATAAGATCATTTGCAATTGATGACAGCAATGATAATAACCATAATGGCAATGAGACAGGCTGGAAAACCAGGACAGGAATAGGAAAACTGAGACAGATAGCTAAACAGCAATTTGCAGCCATCTAGTAAATCCTATATTCCCTAAACCAAAGTCACTTAAGAGCAAAAGGTTTGCACTTCTCCTCAACCAGAGAGAGGGTAAATAGCTTAAATCATCCTACTTAGAGAGACAGATAGCAGAAATCCAATTAAGTACCACTTGCCAACCACACCCAAAGAGAGATGAAGTTAAGAGAATAAATCTCATTCTGGTACATCTGCATAAGCTGATGAATAGTCTACTGAGATCCTTCCCTAAGACCTCCCCTAAACACCTAGCCTTTAAAACTCCTCCAAAGGAAAGTCCCAGCCCATGCTCTCCCTTCCAGAAGCAGGCCCACATCTTTCCTCCCTCCTCCCTCTAGACATGTGTCTCTTAAACTCTAGGGACCGCGAGAGGCTTGCAAAAATGGGGAACAGCAGTTCGTCCTGGGCCAACCCCCTGAACCTGCCTCCCTAGGTCCGCCCCCTTCTTCCTCAGACGTTTTGTGAGCCAAAGCTACACAGCCCAGGCTTATTTTCCCACTGTTATCCACTTATTTTCCCACTGTTATTTCCCTCTCCTATTATCCAAGGTTCCTCTTTGTTTCACTGTCCCCAGCTTTAATAAGTGACTTCTAAATTCACTGGACTCGTGTTGTGAAATTTTCCCTGCACAAAGTCAAAAACCTTCACACTACTGGCCAGCTCTAGGCAGACCTGCTCAGGGCTTGGTCCCCTTTCCGGTAACAGTGAATCAGTGGCATTTACTCCGAGACTACTTTGCCAGGCCCAGGGCTAAGCACTTTTTATGTGTTTTGTTCTATAATATAATCCTCATTTTACTGATGAACACGTGAACTTGTCTAATATCACCCAGCAAGAAAGTACAAGCAAGATGCAAACTCAGGTTTGCACTACCTGGCAGCTCAGTTCTTAGTCTCTGGCTAGCACATCTCCCTAAAAGGCATGCATGTGTGCACACATGCACACACACACAACTCCTGGGGAAAGAAACATGGTGTGCTTCTATCTCATCCATGCTACCCTATGAAATCAAGCTCCAGTTATGAAAATCTAAAGCAACTTTAATTTTAGCTTTCTAAATTCTTCACTTTCAGATATCCATATTTGGAAGTAAGCTAGAAGACACAAAGTGATTTAAATAAAACGTCTTCATGGAAAAAAAAAAAACATCAAAAACAAGTTCTATACCCTTTTGCTGCACTAGGACATTCCAGAGGTCCTAGCAACAGAAACAGAGTGTGGAATGTTGTGACAACCAGAAACATGAAATAATTTTTGTGAGACACAGTACCTTTGTTTCTGAATATTTTACATTAAAAAAAATATATTTTTTAAGAATTTACTGTTCGATTTTTAGAGACAAAAAGGAAGGAGGAAGGAGAAAAAGAAAGAGAGTAAAACATCAATTTGTGATTTTTAGAGACAGAAAGGAAGGAGGGAGGAGAAAGAGAAAGAGAGTAAAACCTCAATTTGTGATTTTTAGAGACAGAAAGGAAGGAGGAAGGAGAAAGAGAAAGAGAGAGAGTAAAACATCAATTTGTTGTTCTACTTACTTATGCACTCATTGATTGCTGCTTGTATGTGCCCTGACTGGGGATCAAACCTGCAACCTCAAAGCATAGAGATGACACTCCAACCAACCGAGCTACTCAGCCAGTGCTGTTTTTGAATATTTTTAAAACATAAATTCCAATCAGCCTACCTACAAATTAACATATGAACCTTGTTCAAAACCAAGGAAGAAAAAGCTTGATTTATTACTAAAAAGAGTTGATAAAAACAAGTTCTAACTCAGTAATAAAACTTATAAATACATTTTAAATATACAACTTAAACCATCATATGCTACAAAAATAATGAAAAATTTTAAAATTGTACTTGACCCTATGGACTCTGAGCTAATTTAAAAGAAAATATTTTATTGTGTGTAAGCTCTAAATCTTTCTTAGGATTCAGATAACCCCTAAAGTCCAAGTAGTGAGAGGCTTAGCACCCACATGGAGGCCATCATGTACTGTGCAGACCCCAGGCTAGCAAAGCAGGAATAACAGGTCCTCACATGGACATGTGAGCACCTGTTTGCAGAACCTCCACAATCACATGCAGAATGAAGGCCCTCTTCCTGATATTAGACCCTGAACAGGAGTGAACACATTCAGTTATTTTGTAGCTGCTATCCCTATGCTGAGGGTTGTGGCCATCAACAAAACTAAGGGTTGTAGTAAAGCACTCACTCTGCAGCACCCTGAATGGTCTCTCTTCTCCCATACTCCCAAACTTCTACATGCCAATGACTCCCACATTTCTGTCTCTATCCCAGACAGCTTCCATGCTCTGCCTAGACTCACGTATCCAAGTGCCTACTGAACAGTGCCATCTGGATGTCTCTATACATCTCAAATGGAGCAAGCATGTCCAAGAGAACTTCGCTTTCCATCCTGTCCTGTTCCCCACCCTCCAAAATGCTCAGGAAACTACAGCACAGAGACAATGA